TTGTACACAACCAAACTGTGGTGTTATAAGAAAGGAAAACATTTCTTTGTCCAGTGGCTCTTCAAAATAACTTTTTTGTAAATACCATGGTCATTCCCTCATGTTTCCTGAAGTATTTTCTGAACTAAAATATCTGAATTTTAGTTTACTATTCTCAGCTTTTCTTTTTCAACCCTTGCTCCATATCTTGAATAATTCTGACTGCTCCTTTTTAAAGATGTCACAATGAAAGATTTTCTGTGTTTGTTGGACGTACTTCCTACAATTGTTTATATACAATTGTGAGTTAAAATTTATGCATGAGATTGAAGGGAAGCTATTAAATCATATTGAATGAAACAGAAGTATTTCAATTATTGCTCCTTAAAATGCAGCAGGCAATGCAATGGATTTGCCATCAGGAGGACCTTATGCTCACTGGCATTCACTGTGGTCTAGATTTGTATGCTGGTATTCCAACCAGGTAAATGGAAATGATTGTTCTGAATCTGCCAAGGTCATTAACATTGCTCAGAGTTTACTCTAATATTCATGGAATTCCTTACTGTATCATTCCATGGTGATTTACATTCCATATGAGCATCTTTTCTATCTCATCATCTGTGCTCTTTGTTAACTTGAGTTTGTAATACTCCACACTGTATTTAATTCAAGGAGAAATATTAAAACATATGGATAAAATGTTTCTGAATATTAGCTTCAATACAGGACCCAACTAAGTACCATGAAACAAACAGAGTAGCTGCGAATAGTGCAATTACCATTGCTGTCTGTGGGAAACAGGCGGGGGCAGCTATAATTAGAATGGAGCTTGTTCCCATGGTTCAGTGAGGCATGGACTCCATATGCATGCCACCTTTTTGCATATTTGTCTCTTGTGAAGGTATCCCTGCTTCCATTGTTCCCATTATTTTGAACTTTTCTTTCATGTTCAAAAACAATTTTGAATGGATTTGGGAAGATCCTCTCTAAAGGACATCTACCATTTTTTCCTGAAGTTTTCCTTTTAACTATTTTCACATGAAAACCTAATATGCACTGGATGGACAGGATGATAGCCAATATTCTGAGACTTTATCCATAGTTTGTAGTTTTGTGGGTGCTCAGATCCATCATTGTCATGGTAGGCCTCAGTGACTTAGAGAGCATTTTCTAAGCAAAGGCTGGAACACCTATATTATTTTGTTGAAATAACTTTGCTAATGCCATTCATGCTCTGGTAAGCTCCCATCTGGATTATTGCAAAGTGGACTGGCCTTAGAAAATGGTTTTAAAAAACCAGTTTGTCCTAAAGAGGGCTGCTATACTGCTGAAAGACTGGCCAGCACAATTATATTGTGGCAGCTCTTTGAAATCTCAACTGGCAGCCCGTCTGTTTACAGACCCTTGCTAGGCTGACCACTGTTTTGAGGGGATTTAGGAGATGAGTAATCATCTCCAATAAATATTTGAGAATATAATCAGGAAGACTTTTAAAATGGCACTCTTTTCCCAGACCTTGGTGGGGGTTTTAAAAACTGAAAAATGGCCCTTCCATGCTCTACTGGCCCCCTTGCAAATGAGTGTGTGTGTGTGTTGCCCAGCAATGCTGTAATAGGTTACCCATGCCACTCATCCCCCCCCCCAATTTTAAATTTGAAGGAGATGCTGGGGGCACATTTGGACCCCTTGGAGCCACATGTTGTGCACCCTTGTTTGGGAGGGGCATTAAAAAAAGAACAACCTTTCTATATTCTGAAGAGTTTCCCTCAGAATGTTGGTTAATAGCAGCCTTTGTATCCAGCACCTAATGGGAATTGGTTCTGGAGCTGAGGTGAAATTTCTCAGATATTTTTTTCTCAGAGAAATTCCAGCTCAGCTCCCAAATCTGTTCCCGCTGGATAAAGATGTTATTCCAATCAGGATTCCTGTATTTAAACACCCATCAAATCCCAGACTTGGGTATTTCTGGTGGTGTTTTTTCCCCCTTAAACTAACCTCAAAGTCACCAACTCTAGGAAAGGCAAGCTGCATTTTTGTCTAAACATCCTGAAACATATGACGAGCTTGATTTATGAAAACAAAACAATGTAATGAAAGCCAAAGAAAGAAAATGTTATAAAATAACAAAATAAAATGGATGGAAAATGAATTAGCAACGTGGCTGTTCAAGCTACTGTTTCTCAAAGCCATATTTGATAGGACCAAATGAAAATGTGATTTCAAACTTTCACATCTGCAAATTGAACAGCCATTGCTTATTTCAGCCTTGGCTGCAATTCTAGAGGTGTAAACTTGATTGTAATCTATGACTTCTAAGACGGTGTGGATGGATGGAAAAACAGCTTGCAAGGATCAAACTCTGGTTATTTCAGAAATGAGCAACAGAAAACATCAGAGAGGAAAACCGATAGATGTATGACTCAGCTGATTGCTGTTGGCATAACATATTTTGCATTTTCTAAATACTGGATTACAAGTACAAAAAGGAAAAATAAATAGGTACCAGTTTTATCTTACCTCCTTTACAGTGGGTTACTGGGCTGATGAGGGAATGTAACTGATACAGCTGCATTGTGATATCTATTGAATGCAATATAAGTGGAAGAAAATATAAAACTATTTCATTTTGCCCGCATCTTAACATGAAGATGAAGATCTATTTGGATCTGGCATGGAAGTCCAAGGGAGGGGTTGGACCTCTGAAAGAAGAAAAGGTGTGAAATAGGATATGTTGAACAGACAGTGGCTGAAATCCAGCAGTAAGCTGCAACTAGAGTAGGCCTCCTGCAGAAGTAGAAGTTGCAGAGATGTACTCACTAAATCCCCGCTGATTCAATGGGCTTACTCCAGTTGCGTCCTACTATCGGATTTCAGCTAGTGTGTAATATGGAACCAAAGAAATACAGACTAACAGTACTTTATAGCTTTTCATAAACTACAGCCCACTTCACCAGGCCACTTGGTCAAACCTCATCCAAAAATTGAGGTATAAATCTGTGGTCACCAAGATGAAAGTGGAGAGATTATAGGCATTGAGGTCAGAGGGAAATTAAATGCATGTAAATTACATACAGTGACAACTGCATCATTTACAAAGAACCATTGTGGTTAATGACACATACCACTAGATAACCCAATTAACACATGGTGTGTGATAAGAAACCTTTATTCCAATTCTAGACACTGTGGATACACTTGAACTTCTTTGTTGAATGGAAAGTTAACTCAGCATTTGCTTGATCTAATCTCTGATGCATTTTTAGTTAGCAATGATGACTGAACAGTCAGTGGCAAAAGACCCCTGGGAGACTGCAGTATCCTGCCACTGGCGTGCATGAGTGAGTTAAGGCAGTGGTCCCCAACCTTGGGCCTCCAGATGTTCTTGGACTTCAACTCCCAGAAATCCTGGCCAGTAGAGGTGGTGGTGAAGGCTTCTGGGAGTTGCAGTCCAAGAACATCTGGAGGCCCAAGGTTGGAGACCACTGAGTTAAGGGACAGTTTTGTAAAGAAGGTGAAAAAGTAAACAGCTAGAGTATTGAACTGTCCTGGATTGATACTACTCAGCAGGAATCATGGCTAACTGATTGATGCTGTAACCTTTCAGAAGAAACATTCAAATAGATACAATGATTTTGTTCTCTCCCAATACTTAAGAGTTGGTTAGAGAGATCAAAGAAAGGGCAGCTATGGGATGAAGGAATTCTGCAGGAGAAGAACAGAAGCTCTGACCCTCTTTCTCAGTAAGAAGGCTGTCAAGGGAACTCTGGCTAGGGAGTGGGGTAGAACCCACTTTTTCTCCTGTATTACCTTCCGCTGGTCTTACAGCAATCTTCATCGGCCTCGACTCAGAAGAATCTTTTTGTGTGGCATTTCAGTGAGGTTTAGCAGTTCAATAAGAACCCATCTGCAGTTTTAACAGTCAATACAAGAAATCTTTATTAAAAATGCAGACAATCTTTATGTGCTACAATATATCAAGCTGAGAAAGATCTCACGGATTTCAGACTAGTGCTGCAACCCACGATCCCTTTTGATGGATTACCACTGGCTTTTATCAGAAATATGTATAGAATATATTGAATATATATTGAATATAGTACAATTAGTTGTGATACGTTCTTGTAAAGACACTGGGTATGTCTGTAGGTGGTGTTTTAGTGACGTAGCCAGTTGGAACATGATGTTCAGGACTGGGAGAACATGCTCCTGCGATCTTTCCTCTCCCCCCAATTGTCCTCTGAATTTTTAAACTTATTTATATATGTGAGATTAGTGTCAGATCACCTCATCACCAGGTCCTTGTGATTATTATTTCCTGTATTTATGCCCCATAAAGAGGCAGGACCAGAAGAAGGAAGAAAAGGAGGTGATTGTGGGCTGCAATGTGAATTGCATCGCATGTAGTATGATCGGTGAACTCCCTAATCAATCTGCAGCTCCTGTGTCCGCACTTACGGCCATTTCAAATGCAATATACTGTAGGCTTCAAATCAATTTGCAGCAGAGCTGAATTGCTCCCGTTCAGCTTTCCAGTGTAGTGGTACCCTCAGTCATTTAAAATTTTGCTGGCCACATAATACTCACTGACTCTAAAAAAGTTATTTCCCTTAATTATCTTCAAATCAACAACTGTGGTAGTTTTTTTCATGTAGAGATGAGTGAAGGTTGGTGTGAGGATCATGCCACACTGAGCCTTATCCGGAGTTGTCAGCCGTCATTGACCAAGGTAGGCCTGTGAGAATGGGCCATCAAAGTACATAAGGATTTCTGACGTATTTCACATTCATGGATAATACATCTTCTGGTATAATCTCTCTTCCCTTTTCTGTTTTATCTAGCTTCATTTGTGGCGTAAATCCTTGGTATCATGCATGGGTATCAGTGCCTACAGCTGAGGCTTCATCAAGTCTGATTTTGAAGGACGAGCTTGCAGCCATTCAGATGTTCTTATCATTGTCTCACAACATTACTTCTGTATCTTCCTTTCCTTTTTATACCCCGGCCTTATCCTTCCACAGGGAGAAGACAGTCCTAGCCTGAAGTCAGCTGAGCCTAAAGCTTCAGCTTTGAAGAATTGCTGTGCAGGGAAGCTGAACTTCTGGTCTGGGGTACACTTCAGCAGTCATTGCCAGAACGTACTGACAGCTCCTTGCAGGGAATGGAGAAAGTTGGAGTTAATTGAGCATTTCGAGGGAGACTGAAAGCAAACAAGACAGCCATATTTCTCCTTTTCTTAACATTTTAAAGTGGGACTCAAGGTGAATATCAGTTAAGGTGTGAGAAACTACACTTTTACAGCAATATGGCAGATTTACGTGTGAGATCCAATTTTTAGTCCTGATTGGAACAGATCCATTCCTTACACTTATGTAAATCCCAGGAATTCAGAGAGTTTACTCTAGTTGGAACTAGCAGTTGGGTTTAGCAAACCCTGGATGGTTTGGTTTGAGTTTTCCTTATGAGTTCTGACTATTATCAGTTAATTGCTAGAGGGATTTTTGCACAAATAAATTTCTTATGTTGGAATATTCACACCAAAGAAAAAAAATAACTATCTTTGTTTTACTTGGCCTCCTCTCTGTAGATTATATTTAAATTATTCTGTATAGCCATGCAATCTTACCCAGCAAAAGAGAACTACAGTGACGTGGATGAATTTCAACGTCACTGTGTTTATTTGTGCTTAATAATAATAACTGCACACTGTCAAGTCACTTCTGACTTAAGGCGACACGTTCAAGGTTTGCTGGGTGGAGAATACATATAAGTAGTTTACCCTTCCATTCTTCTGGGGGCATCCTGGGTCTGTGCAACTTGTCCATGACTACACCGGCTGTCTATGACTACACCGGCTGGCTCTTCTTCCAAGAGGGACAGTGGCAAATCAAACTCCCAATCTCTGGCTCTGCAGCCAGATACCTAAACCAGATACCTATCCAGCCAGCTTTTAAATGCTTACATAGGTCTTTTTATGATGAGATGGTTGGACAAGATGGTTGGACGGTATCATCAAAGCTACGAACATGAATTTGACTAAAGTTCAGGAGGTGGTGGAAAACAGGAGGGCCTGGCATGCTCTGGTCCATCGGGTCATGAAGAGTCGGAGATGACTTAACAACTAAACAACAAATTGTGCATTTACAAAAGGATTGATGTTATAAGTAAAGCTGTGTCACAATTTCTGAAAGTACAAGATACTGAGAAAAAATGATTCAATTTTTCTTTCTCTGACCTTGCGTACCCTGAGGGGGAAAAAGAAAGCTGCTCTGCAGAATCTTTTCCAAATATTCAAATTCTGAAGACAGTGAAACCAACATATTTTCAAATCCTTGATGGTGAGTAGCACCCCTGAATTTAACTGCTTTGCAGTGGAAATTTCAGACATTTGTGCCTGAGTAATCAGATGTTCAAATAAAGCTAATGTTTACTTTCTGATAAACAACTACAAAAGAAAGCATGCTAATCTACAAGATATTAAGGTCAAGAAAACATGTCCTAAGACAATCAGATGTATTTCAACACTCTAGGATTCTCTGCTTCTAACAACATGCTATCTGTATAGTCTCATTTGAGACTTGCATATCAGGGCTTTTAGGTTTTTTTGTTGTTCTTGAATCCAGTGAAAAGATCTCTGTGTGTATGTAAACACAAATTAGTAAACACTGACCGGTTTGAAGGCCCATAGAGAATAATTACAGACACTTCCCTCTAATCACATTTAAAAAGCTGTTTTCATTTGCTGAACAGCATGGTATTCATTTATATTAGCTCAGGTGGCTTCAGCAGACGATGTACATGTAGCTATTTCTAAATTAAAATTGTCTGTGGGGGGAAAGAAGTGAAACAATGTTCTCTGCTGACAGGCCATCAAACTGCATGTGTAAAATATGGCTTTGAACAAATGCCACCAACTGGTGAGAATTATCCTCTGGTTTCCATTCTTAATTAAATATTTCCCCCATTAAAAGAAACTCTCTTAAGTGTTAGTATTTGCTGCCCTGATGATAATAGCAGAAGGCAGAAAGATGAAAAAAGGTGGAGTGTTAAAAGTTTTAAATACTCATTATTTGAACATTGCTGGAGTACATGCACTGCTATTACTGTTACATAGTATGATGTTGGATGAATTCAGGAAAAGGGCACAATACTTGATATTATGGTTGAAGAATATAGGCAGCACACTCATTTATTACCAGGTGTCAACCTGAATTAATGTTTTCAGCCAAGAAAAATGTGTTCTTCTCTGCAGTGTACAAGTGGTAAGCATTATGTAGCTTTTTCTAGAGGGTAAGGAAGAGAAGGAGGCAGACAAACAGTAGGTAGAGAGTTGTGTTGGTCTACAGCACAATTTTAAAATGTATAAGTGGTAAGCATTGCATAGTCTTCCTAGAGACAGATAGGACAAAACGTCTATCAGGAGTCAACTCCAGAAAGGCACTTCTTACTTTCTATTTGTCTAAAGGGAACTAAAATGAACACAGTAAGGAAGGGAACTGTATGAATAAAATGAGGCCAGCAATAAAATGTTGCAATCTTAGTGGCTCTATGTTTTGATGTATATGTGTGAATTCCTGAATTTTGTTTTGTTTTCCCAGAGTCTTCGTTGCTGTGTTTCAGTTGTCATTCTAAGCCTTTAGACATAATAATTTTATATGGCTAGCCCATAAAATTGTCTCATATTTTGAGATCCTGCTGATAGTATGGAAATATCATGGTAATAAAATGCTGAAATGTTAGTTTCTTGATTAAATAATGACTTGGGCTGCTTGCATATTTGTTTCAATGCATTTGATAAAAACAAACAATCCAATCCAGATTTGCTCATAATCTATTCAGACACATGCAGATACCACAGATGGCTTGTAACCAGGGCAGTGGATGCCCTCCAAATTTTAAGGTGAAGGAACCCCCATTTTCACCCATGAACTGCCACTTGCAGATACTTATAAACAATGAAAAAGAAGAACATGGTATTTAATTAATAGGAGGCAGCATGCAGTGCCAATAAAGAAGATGACGTTTGTGCAAATCCAGTACAAATAATACATTGTATACATACAAATCAAGACTTGGCATGATCTAGCTGCACTTACAGTGCCATATTGTGCCTGGCTACTCAGCAGTAATTTTCACTGATTTCAATCAGAGTTATACCTGCAAGTGTACACAAGACTATAATGAAACACTATTTTGTTGCTTTGCCTATACACATTAGCCTTATTTGGATATTCTTCTTTTGAATCTAATCAACACACTAGGGGTGTGAAGGTGACAATCATATGAGCTCTGCTGCCTTTGTGGTAGTCATTGGTGCCCTCTATATTTTATAGGAAAACTTTTGCATAGGGGAGCATTGCTATCCCTTCAAGATCAGACTTTTAAATCATGTAGAGGGCTTTGAATTGTGGTACTGGAGGAGACTCTTGAGAATCCCCTGGACTGCAAAGAGAACAAACCTATCCATTTTGAAGGACATCAACCCTGAGTGCTCACTGGATGGACAGATCCTGAAGCTGAGGCTCCAATACTTTGGCCATCTCATGAGAAGAAAAGATTCCCTGGAAAAGACCCTGATGTTGGGAAAGTGTGAAGGCAAGAGGAGAAGGGGACAATAGAGGACGAGATGGCTGGACAGTGTCATTGAAGCTACCAACATGAATTAGACCAAACTTTGGAGGCAGTGGAAGACAGGAGGGCCTGGCGTGCTCTGGTCCATAGAGTCACGAAGAGTCGGACACGACTTAACAACTAAACAACAACAACATAGGGCTTACTTGGATATAATAACCACATTTAATGAATTGTTTAATTAGGCAAACTGGTATGATTAATCAACTAAGATTTATTTAATTTTGTGACAGTCCTGAGTCTTTCCTATTGCAATATGCTTTAATAATCACTCTAGCCAATGAGCAGAAAATAAAACGAATGAATGCCTTCCTATTAGCATAGCATTTGAAACTGTTGGTGGCTGTGCCTAATTTCAGCTTTCCAGCCCTTTCCCGCCCAGTGACATCTCTTTGTCATGATGAAGTTATTTTGCATCACTTCTGTTCAATAATGTAACGAGACAGACATCTGTCACTGGTCCTAAAGAGATCAGCTCCTCACTGTGCCTCTTGGGGAAGTAGCGGGCTGAGATTACTTCAGAGCTTGTATGACCACCTGTGTGGCCTTGAGCAAGGTATACAGTCCCAAACAGAAAGACTGATAAACCATTTCTGAGTACCTCATACTAAGAAAACTTTGGGAGGGTTGGGAATAAGTCAGAACTGACTTGACAGCAAATAATTCTTATTTATTAGATGCTGCCATTGGCAGAGGGACACACAGGGCAAATGCTTGTATATCATGACTTTTAACATTTTTGTCATCATTGCCATTTGTTATTGTTATAAAAGTAACTTAAATGTTCTTTTCCTCTCTGGCAAGGGCTAACTGAGTGCCTGAAAAAGAATAAAAATGGGAAAGAACCGAACCGCACATGGAGCGAATTTGCAAATAGGATAGTGAGGTTTATTGAAAGGAGATTTCAATTAATTAATTAATTAATTAATTAAAATGAATCCCGAGGGTCCCTTCATGCTCTGAAGTTCTTTCAGAGTCCGAGCGCCTGATCTCTCTCTCTCGCTAGACACAAGTCTACTCTTGAGATAGAAAAAGTCTTGGAAGACTGGGAATCGGGGGTCTCATGAGCAAATACAACTTAATAGGATCCTCCCCAAAACAAAGCTAGTCATGTGATGCTGGTGACAGCAGAATGACAAATCCCAATTTTCTGTAAGCAGTCCTGACCTAGAGTTATATATGTTTTCTGATGTTGTTACTGTTGTTACTTTGAGGCACCAGGAGTATAACTTTGGCTTTGCCTCAGACAGTGGTATCTTGTAATGGAGACAAAGGCAAATTGTATGGTCACCTGATCTTTTCAGGTGACATAGGTCTTGACTGGGAAGTGTTTGTTACTTTCCCTTTGCTGGCTTCTAGGCATCGGCTTTAGGTTGCATATGTTATCTGATGTTGTTACTGTTGTTACTTTGAGGCACCAGGAGTATAACTTTGGCTTTGCCTCAGACAGTGGTATCTTGTAATGGAGACAAAGGCAAATTGTATGGTCACCTGATCTTTTCAGGTGACATAGGTCTTGACTGGGAAGTGTTTGTTACTTTCCCTTTGCTGGCTTCTAGGCATCGGCTTTAGGTTGGGACTTTCTTGTGCCCGTGTACACTTGCTAACACTGTAATCTTCTAT